ACCCCCTTCCCTGACTGAATTGTGAGCCGCCCTGAGTCCCCTTCGGGGAAAAGGGTGGCATATAAATGTAATAAATCCAAATCCAATAATGGAGTATGGTGAAGAAAAGTATCAGTCTGATTGGTGCAAATAATCATATTCTGACTGGGACCAACTCCATGTGTTAAGTAGGGCAATTGCTTAGAAATCCCAAGACCAAATCTGTGATAGCTGATTTTTTTTTTCATTATATCACAATGTCTGTCTGCATGTCAGTCCATGAAATTAATCCTAAATTAAAAGTGCAAGTCACAGCTATAATAGCATGTAACTAACTGATTATCTTGAAAAAGCTAAGCCTGGTTAGAGCTGGTTATGTATGTGGAAGACTACCAGCAATCTCGTGGTTAGAGACTACACAAAGTTTTTTTTTAAATCTCTGAAACTAGATTTTATTGCCAAGAAAACAACCTAGACATGTCTGTTGAATCACCAGGAGTTTGATTTGAAGAAAATGTTACTTTTAAGTGTAGAGCTCACCGAGTCTAGTTTTGGGCTGTCTGAAAGTACTATTAATAACAATATAACGTTTCTAGACATATAACAAAGATCTTGCCTGCAGTGGACAGGTGTGAGACACTTCTGTAGTTTTTGCAGTTGAATTTGCTTCCCTTATTTTAATAAGAGAGCCACAACGAGGACATCGGAAGTCATCAGGTATCTCTTCTAAGGATCAAATGTCTTCTACCAGGTCTTTGAATGCATGCAAAGCATTTGGGTCTATTGCTTTGTAGATCTCAGCTGGAATGTCACCCTGCCCTGTTGCTTTATTTGAACTTACTGTACATTGATTTCATTAATAGAAAGAAGCATGTTGAGGGTACCAGGACTGGCAGGAATCTGCAGTAAGTATCATGATCAGTTGTGGATTGGCCTATAAAGAAAGTTGGAAAAATGTTTAGCCATGGCTTTTCAGTCTTTCCTACCCTGTTTCCCCAAAAATAAGACCTCCCCAGATAATAAGCCCAATCAGGCTTTTGAGCATATGCACTAAAATAAGCCTTCCCTGAAAATATTGCAACACAACAGCAGCCATGAAGTGACCACGCTTGCCACCTCCTGGACCTCAAAAATATTAAGACCTCCCTGAAAATAAGGCCAAGTGCTTATTTTGGGGGTCAAAAGAAAACAAGACCCTGTTTTATTTTCGGAGAACCACGGTAGTCTTTGATCAAGCTTGACCCATCAGATCACAATAAGGGGAAGCATCATGTTTTATGGCATTCTGTGGGAAGATGAGATGGTGTTTTGTGCATACAGTTAGAGCCCTTCAGGAGAAGTCCCCAGATGATGCTGTAGGATGGGGTCCATCTTTCTTTCTGGTGAAGCTAGCTCACCGCCTGTAGTACATTTTAGAAAATATGTGAGAGTGAACAGAATGTGCTAGTAGTCTTAGGTAGCCAAACTGCTGCTATGTACTAGCATTATAGTCTGGCTAATGTAACGTCACCATATGCTAAATAAATAAATAATGGCACTGGAGAACTTTTTGATGTCATGCACGTCTGTATCACTGGTGGGATTCAAAAAATTTTCTACTGGTTCTGTGGGCGTGGCTTGGTGGGTGTGGCTTGGTGGGTGTGGCAGGGGAAGGTTACTGTAAAATTCCCATTTCCTCCCAATCAGCTGGGACTCAGGAGGCATAGAATAGATGGGGCAGGGCCAATCAGAAGTGGTATTTACTGATTCTCCGGACTACTCAAAATTTTTGCTGCTGGTTCCCCAGAACTGGTCAGAACCTGCTGAATACCACCTCTGGTCTGCATAATGTTCCCCCTGCACAGCCTTCTTCTGCCACCATTTATCCTGTATTTCTCACAGTTCCATCTGTATTTGGATTGCATGTGCTTAAATTTGTCTTTCTTTGAGACAGATGATGATTCATTCTGCCAGTCTGGGTAGGCTTTTCTCTTGGCTTAAAGGACTGCTAAAATGTCTTTGCAGTTTTCATCAAATCAGTCTTGTGATGTGACTGGGTTTTCAATCCAATACAGTTATCACAGTCTGCATGATGACATATTTAAACTATGGTGTGTCTACTTTTCTTAATAGATTCCTACAAGCAGCAAACAGTATTTCATTAAGTACATCTTGGGCGCCTTGGACTTGGTCTAACTCTTGTAGTCTACCAATATAGAATGACTTACAGTCCTTGGTTGTATGTAATGTAAATGGGCTATGTGTAGGCTGAGGACTGACCAGACCAGCTTGTGATGCAGCAATTCACATGACATGAGTGATGGTGACATCTTTTAAGATCTCACTGGTATATTATGACATAAATTTCAAATAGGTGCCAGTGCTTGGATCTGTCAGCTTTGTACTTTTGTAGCAACTAGGTAATTTTGTACTTGTTGGGAAGTCTGAACATAATTGTTTATGATGCACAAGTTGCTTTCAGCATATTTGCTCAGAAACAGCCCTATGACATTTTGTTTTCCCACCTTGTAGCTTCCAAAGATTCTGTTCCAGTTGTCACTGTCTTTGTCCGCCCTAGCATTGAAGCCTCCCAGAATGATGAATTTATCGCTGCTGGTGGTTGTTTGAATAATTTGCTCCAAGTTGTAGAGAGCTTCCTTCCTCTGGACTTGTCAGAGTTGCGGCATGGGCACTGAGAATGGTGAGAGTTGCTGATAGAAAAGCAGAACTCCATTATGTGTTCAATATTCTGGTGGTTAAAGTTGTGATGTTCTTCAGCAGAACAGATTTGAATGCAAAAAAACCTGTTCTAAAATGCCCTTGACCTTCTCATGTGTGGACTCAAAGGATGAGAACACAAGATGTAGGTACAATAGAGCTCGCTAAGTAAGGCATTGAGGAAACACTAACATCC